AAATATAACCACTAACATGTATTCTCTCTCAATTATATATATATATATATATATATATATATATATATATATATATATATATATATATACTGTATGTGTTTATCAACTGCGACAGCACTACTGATGTAGAAAAGTATGACTACTGAAATATCGACTTTGTTGGTGTCAGTTCTGATTCTATATCAGCTGTATTCAACCAGATTTGTCATACATATGGCAACACATTGAGATTAGAATTCGACCAACAGAACACCATCATTTATTCAGATAGACCACATACACAACCCATATCCTACCACATAAACATCCTTTAACTAACCTACTACATACACAACATACAACTTACCCACCACAGACCAAATAAGGACATACAACTTACCAAGCACAGAGCACATACACAACATACAACTTACCAAGCACAGAGCACATACACAACATACAACTTACCAAGCACATACCACATACACAACATACAACTTACCCACCACAGACCAAATACAGGACATACAACTTACCCAGCACGATAGCCAGAGTCTTAGTTGCCTTTTTCTCCCGCTTAGACGAAGATTTCTCCTTCCGCTTCCGGCTGGTGCGCATGTGGAAGTTAAATTTAGTAACGCCTTTCTTGTGGTCCCTCTTGGTTTTTTTCTTGGGACTCAACATCCCCTGCGAGGCCTCGGCGTTGTCACTGTCGCCCTTACACACCAAGGAGGTGAACGGCGTTTCCGCCTCGTTTGCGCATGTCTGCGGCACACCACCGGAAGGTCGATGCGGAATTTGAACCCGCGGCTTCCTGTGCGGCCGCGCATCCGCCGTTCTTACCAGACTGGAGTTTAGCCCGTTGTTCTTCGGTCTCTAGACGGTCCAACTCCTCGGCTACTGGTTCGAGATTAACTCGGCCACCTCCGCGTGACGTAACAGCTTGGGGTTGACCTGGGCCACGACGCTGGCCACGCCCAAACCTTTGGGAGTCGTTGGCGTTGGTGATGTTGTTGGCGCTGCCGCTGCCGCTGGGGCTCTCGTCGTCGTCCTCGTAGTTCGAGTTGTCGTCGGAGTTTGAATTCACGTTCGTGACGGAGCCCTCGTCACCGCCGTGCGCGGCCAGAAATCGTGACGTCGTCGCTTTCGATGACGTCGTCGTGTTGTACGTCACGCGGACCGTTATCCATCTTCGCCAGGCCCGTCGTCACGGTTGCTTCCGACGCCCCGTAGACCCCGCCCCGTGTCGTTGAGTGCCGCCCCTGCCGCTGTGGCCGGGTTCTCTATCACCCCCTGTAACGCCTTACGGTCTACATCACGTAACCGTTTCGCTTTCTTAGCCTTGAGCGCTCTAAGCCGAATAACTTTGTAGATTTTCCAGTAGAGGAATATCATGATAATGGAGGGTATATAAAACGAGCCCATTGAGGAGTAGATGATAAAGTCGGAGTTAAAGAACCGGCAGTCCCCCTCCGTCCTCTCCTCGGAGTAGTTGACCCCCAGGGTGATGGGCGCTGCTATGGCAACGGAGATGACCCACGTGACGGCCAACATGACGAAAACACGCTTGGAGTTTTTATGCTTGGCGTACTTTATGGGCTGCGTCACAGCGATAAACCTGCAAACAGAGGACAGGTAATTAGACAGGTGGGCTGCGTCACATTGTTAAACCTGCGGACAGAGGACAGGTAATTAGACAGGTGGGCTGCGTCACAGCGATAAACCTGCGGACAGAACACAATCACGTAATTATAGGTTGCGTCAGTGTGTTAAACCTGCAAACGACAATCAGGTAATTAGACGGATTAATAAGTAAAGGAAGTTTACATCGTTTTGTGGACGTGTGTTCTCTCGAATGAAATCTCAGCTTTTCAACCGCTCTTCATGTGAAATTGTCAACTACATTTGCCGGGATTACATTCCCTTTCATGTGATTTCCCACATTTGTTGTATTATTGAGTGGAGTATATCCCAGGCCATTACCACTAATGTCTTTTTTAGGAGTTTAAGTCCTTGATGATTTGAACTTTAAAATTTTATACAGAACGTTTAAGTAAAACTAAATTTAAAAAAAAATAATAAAATAGCCCAGAACAAAAAAAGAAGAAAAAGATAGAAAAAAGTTTGAATACAGTAACATACAATACACTTAGAATGCTGATGGGGTGGGATGGAGGGGGGGGGGGGCGGCTGGGATGAGGTCATACAATTATTACAGTGATTGTCAGTAGACTCTAAGTATAAATAAGTCAGCCCGCGCGCCGAGCCAATCCCCAGGGTCTGTCTACAATCAGACTAGGTCCCCGGGGGTGTCTGTCTACAATCAGCCTCGCTCCCCAGGGGCTGTGTCTACAGTCAGACGCAGGAGAACTGACCACGGATACAACCAATAGAAGTATCTGGACCCAGTGAAATCTATATGATGCTAAGATCGGAATGTGGTCGTTTTAATACAGCGGAACATTCGTCTTGATGACCTTGACATATGCAATCTTAACTTTGACCCCAAATCGTGTACCCCAAAGTTCGACATGAATTGTGCACCGCAAAGTTCGACCTGAATTGTGTACCCCAGAGTTCAACTAGTCAACTGTGTACAAATTGTGCCGTGTACAAACTGTGCAAGTATTCCAAATTCTATGAAACCAATGTTAGATTCCGAAAGTAAAAAAAAACATAATGTTGACTAGGGGAAACAACGAACTATTTTTACAATCTTCCACAAGTGGGTTATCTTGTCAAGTGTGACAGATGAAGGAATGTGTGGCTCAGTTTTAAGACGGTCCTTTCATTAACCTCTTATCTTAAACAAAGAACTAACCCACATAATCTAATAATTTTTACAGTTAAAAAAATAAATTAAAAAAAAAAACCTTAAACGTTGTTAACTTTTTTTAGGTTAATTGTGTATGACGCAGTTTTGACCCCTCCCCCCTTCCCCCTAACTGTTTTCTTGCCCCTAGCTCTCTCTTTTAAAGAAGACACGATAAAAAACCTTTTTTAATATCACTAATCGCGCTTCGTTAGTTATCAGTTTGCCTTTTGAAATCCCAACAATTACTGCCAGCCTTAAAATAAAACGGGAGAAAAAAAAACAAGAAAGCCAAGCCGGCAATACGCTGGAAATCTCCCATTCCGTCTCATTAGCCAGGCGTTTTCGCCTTTAAAAGCCAAAGTGAAAATTTGACTCCGCCGCGTGTGAAATCGAAACAGAAGACAGAATTAAACGTGGCTCAAAGCGCCTGGTTCTAGAAGGCTGAGGTTGTTTCTCCTTGGGTGGGGGACGGGTGGTTGGTTGGGGTAGAACACTGCTAGGCTCTATAGTCACGTGATAGGAGTAGGATCGGGGGGGGGGGGGGGGGGGGGGTGTGACAAAAGTTTCCGACGCTGCCTTTGATTGACATGGATCGAATCCAAGTGCCGACATCGATATCTGACAAGTATCGAGGATCTAAAAATATCGAATACAACAAGCTTTGTATTTTATTAATATATTTTTTTAAAAATATGGATACTTCGCTTCTCGCAAGTAATTGCTGACTGCAACTTTAATGTGGCGTGGTACAGCGAAAGTCTTATTTGTGATACTTTACCCCCCCCCCCCCCCCCACACACACACACACACCCCGACCCCCACCTCACACCTTTATCTCTCCTTAATTCCGAAACCACACAATCCTGCCACACCTTCCTCCACTCATTCACACTGTGTTGTGTTCAACGTTTGAAACAATCAATGGGTAACCATAGCAACGGTCTTTTGTTTGTAGCTGTACACTAACAAATAAAGGAAAGTTTCATAAAACAGTCAGGTATTGTTGACAGAGGGAGCTAACTGTGCTATAATATTATATCATCTTAGCTCACTTTGACGTCTGCATGTACATCCGACACCCTTGGCCTATAAGAGATTATTTTGTTTATGTCCACTTACTAGCGCTAGCAGTTTGTTTTTACACTCATAGGTAGGGTGGTCTAGAGCCTTGATAGTGCTCATCATAGCAAATCAACACAAGTAGGAGGGGGAGGGGGTATGTAGGGATTTAGTTGGGGGGGTGGTATGTAGGGATTTAGTTGGGGGGGGGGGTGGTATGTAGGGATTTTTTTTTGGGGGGGGGGGGGGATTTGCTGTTGATGTTCCCGAAACAACCAAAACTTACAGCCACACTCCCTACTACACCCACCACATAGACCACATGCTCCAACAACTCCAGCAACCACACCAACCACATAAAACCACAACCCCCAACAACACCCACAGCCACACCAACCACACCTTTAACAACACCACCAAATCAACCGCACCAACTACGCCTCCCTAAAACACCCCTGACCACACGAACCGCACCCCCCCCCAATCACACCAAGTACCCCATCCTCATTTTCCCGCACATAGGCATACAACACTATTTCTAGTTTGACATTAAAATATAGCCTTTATGTTGTCTGAATGGTACCACTAATTCTCTGTGTTATTTCAGCTATACACATCAACAACAGACATACATACATACATACATTTATTCCACATTTACACTGAAACCTTATCCTTCTGACGTTCTTAAATAACATTTTCCAAATAATTAATGATCTTAAAAACCGTATCTTTTTATCTTGAAAACAGCGGATTCCATTTACAAGAGATAAAAACAAAGTCCGCGATCATTATTTTGTTTCACTAAAAATGTAGGCAATTTCAAAACGCAAAAAGTCTGACAGTTTGTTTAGAACATCTACACTCAAATATTCTATTGCGATGTTAATTGATGTGCGGTATCACTTTATCGTGACAGAATAAAAACTCAAAACTCGAGTAATTTTCGTTTCGACTTTTTAAATCTAACATGTATACTCAAAACACAACGGTAAAGAAAAACATTTAATTTGTTTCGGATTATTTTTGGTGTTGTGGACAAGGTTTTGACTTTCTTGATCCGCCATCTTTATTCTCTCGTACACTAATTATCAATATGTTTAGTTCGTCATTGTATGTACACTTTAATTCGCACGTACGCTCATTATCGATATGTTTAGTTATTCATTGTAGTATGTACACTTTAATTCGCTCATTATCAATATGTTTAGTTCGTCATTGTATGTACACTTTAATTCGCTCGTACGCTCAATATCGATATGTTTAGTTCGCCATTGTATGTATGTGAGGGTTGATGAATATCCAAGAAATGCACAACACAATTGCAGTTAGATATCACAGTCCTTTATTTCTCTATCCTTCAGTCACCAAATCCACCTGCCTTCTTTCCTGCCCAACCTTCAACTGCCCGCCGCATTCATTCCTACACACCACATTTCTCTCGCTCACAACACAGCCACTGTCACCCGACCAGTCGCTTCCCTTGTACCCTCGTTCACTCCGTACAACAACATACACGTCAACACACCCGGCCTCGTGTCACACTACAAGTAGGTAGTCCAAACTGGCGAAAAAGTGCGTTTTAGGGTCAGTTTTTGCGGTTTTCAAAAAAAATATTTCACTACTTCTAGCTGTCCTATAAGAATAAAAATTATATGTCAATAAAGTTTAAGTCTTTATCTGTCGTAATCTGATATTTTTATATCTGTAACACATGTCTGAATGTGTTTTATATTTGTTTGAAAAGTATCAGTTACGTCAACAAATTTCACCGTTTTGCGTGTACCGATCGACCCCACACTGTTTTATTTGGTCGCGGCTTCGCGACGAAGCATCGTAGAAGCATAATCTTAATGTCATTTTAAAGATCGAATTCTAGGCTATCATTTGATGTATAAATTGAAAAAATAACTTGTTTATTTCATTTAAAAAATACAGATTTTAAACTTAAAATGACGATATATACACGGAAACAAACTAATTCTGTTTCAATTTTTACACCGATGTAAAGTTCAGTTTTATAACTACTTTGTGTTGTAAATTCAAGTATTTCTGATTTACGGTCGCGAAGCCGTACCCCCAATAAACATATAACCCTCGAGTCGACTTTCAGCCCCGAGTAAGTTGCTCGCCGAACGGTTTTAAAGGTTGACGACCGATGATGCTAAACGGATTTTACCCTTGCTAGAGCCTTCAAACAAGTTGTAAGTATCATTTTTAAAGTTTCATTTCCATTTTAATAAATGAATTTTAAGTTTGAATGTCAGTTTGGTTTAATTAGTACACGTTATTAATGTAAATTTGAACGCTTCAAGTCCACGGTTTTAGCGTGTGAACTACGCTTGTACACAGGGTGTGTTTAGACGTGAAGCTATTTAATTCAGGACATTCTAGGGACTTAAAATATGGATGCACTTAACTATTAGATGCTAGTGTTTACTAATTCTTTAAAATCTATTGACTGGGATCAATGATAGGGTCGTATTACTACAGTTTATCTGGACTATCACGTCAAAATTATGAATCGACAAATTCAAAATGGCCACCAGACTATCTTGGTTACTATGTGGACGAACTCAATTATTTACAGGGAACGAAGGTTAAATACTTATAAAATATTAATGAAACATAAAAGAAATGTATAATTATAATAACTATACATTTTTATCGCTTTATTTAAAACAAAGGACACTAAATTTTAAGGACTAATGTGATTAATTTTTTTTATTTTCTGTTGTGTGCTC